CCAATGTCAGCAAGCGCCGGAACATCTCCAGCACACCAGAGCCAAAAATTCGCCAGGACGCAGGCACCCCATGCCCCTCCGTGCCACTCTGCCAGATGCAGAAGTCCTCGAACTGGGGATCGGAGCTGGCAGCCACAGCCCAGGGGAAGCAGCCGGTGCAGAGGCAGAAAAGCAGGACAGCAAAGGCCCAGACGTCCAGGCTGGAGTCCAGCTCCAGTGTGTCGGAGCCCTCGAGCAGGCAGAGCTCCGGCGGGGCGTAGGGCAGGGTGCCGGACATGGCACCCACTGCTGAGCCCTGCATGCGGGTGAGCCCGAAGTCTCCCAGCTTCACCCGCCGGCACTCGCGGTCGAAGAGCAGCACGTTGTCCAGCTTGACATCCCGGTGCACCAGGGCACGGCTGTGCATGAAGTCCAGTGCCTCGGCCAGCTGGGATGCACAGCGCTTCACCAGTTCCTCTGCCAGGCCCTCCTGCAGGGATGGTGGTACCATCGCCCATCACATAGACCCCTCCCCAAAGGGGCTGCTGCATCACCCAGCCCCATGCCCAGCACCTCCAATACATGCTTTGACCCACAGCAGCATGTAGCCCCATGACTGCACTGCAAAGGTTCACCCCATGCACAGCATGAGCACGCGTCTCACCGCAAAGGGTCTCTTCCCATGCACCGTATCACGGCACCCCACTGCAAAGCATGTCCCCACCAAAAGCATGACCATGTACCTCACTGCAGAGGGTGTCCCCACACGCAGTGTCACTGCACACACTGCGAAGGGTCTCCTCCCATGAGCAGTGTGGGCATGCACCCCACTGCAAAGGGTCTTCCCACCAAAAGCATCACCATGCAACCCACTGCGAAGGGTGTCCTCATGCTCAGTGTCACTTCACCCGCTGCAAAAGGTCTTCCCACCAAAAGCATCACCATGCAACCCACTGCAAAGGGTGTCCTCATGCTCAGTGTCACTTCACCCACTGCAAAGGGTCTTCCCACCAAAAGCATCACCATGCAACCCACTGCAAAGGGTGTCCTCATGCTCAGTGCCACTGCACCCACTGCGAAGAGTCTCTCTCCATGCACAGTGTGGGCACACACCCCATGGCAAACGGTCTGCCCACACAGAGTCAGTGGGTTCTCCCTGCAAACGCTGTCCTCACACACTGCGTCACTGCACCCACTGCAAACCCGTCCCAGCACCTTCTCCTCCATCCTCCCACCCGTCCCGGTCCCTGCCCCCGCAGAGCCATGGGGCAGCACACACCCCTGGGTTGAGGAGGGCACACAGGTCCCCGGCGGGAGCGAGCTCCTGCCCAAAAGCGAAGTGCGTGGCACTCTCAAAGGCGATGGGCAGGGCGCGGAGGCAGGCAGCGTGGCTGGAGAGGCACAGGGCAATGCAGTACTCCCGCAGGAACGCCCGTCGCTCTGTCTGCTCCTTCAGCATCAGCTTGAGGACCACCGGCGAGCCTGGAAAATGATGGGGGAGCCGAAGGGGCTTCAGCACCAACCAGGGCAGAGAGAGGGCCTGGCATGGGGTGGTTTGGGAAGGGATGGGGTTTGGCTGGGGTGGGTTGGCTGCTGCAGCTGGGCTGTGCACATCTGTGCACATCTGGGGAGTAGGTTCCCACAGACAGCGATGGGGTTGCCCTCCCCATCCCCTGTCCCCCCAGTGCCCCTCACCACCATCCCGGGGCTCCGTCAGCACCACGCGGCCGTAGGTCCCACTGCCCAGCTCCTCCAACACGGCATAGTCCTCCTCCAGCTCCCGCTGCGGCACCTCCTGTCCCGTCTGCATCATCAGCCGTTCCAGGAACTCCTCGTTGTCCTCCCCGTCCTCGTCCGACTCCTCCATGGGCCCTGGGGAGAGCCAATTCCCCCGCGCTGCTGCAAAAACCCACCTTCCCCAGCCCCTTGCACGGGGAGGTGGTGACAGCACCACCCTCAGGGCACCTAGTCAGAACAGTCCAGTGCAGCCCAGTCTAACCCAGTTCAGTCCAGTCCAACCCACCCAAGCCCAATCCAGTCCATCCCTGCCCAGACTAGTGAAGCTCGGACAAGCCTGGTCCAATCTTCTCCAGCCCAGTTCAGTCCTAAGCAGCCCAGCCCAGCCCAGTTTAGCCAGCCCAGCCCAATGCAGCCCAGCACAGTCAAGCCCAGTACAGTCCAGTCCACCCCAGGGTCTCTCCCTACGGTGTCCCCAGCCAGCATCAAGCCCTGTCCCTCTGCCGCAGACATTGTGCAGACATGGGGGTCCCAGCTGGTGAGAAGGTGCAGCCCCATGCCAAGAGGTGATGGGGACCCAAAAATGTCGCTTTCCAGTGGGGCCAAGCACCTGCAATGGGAGCTCAGGGGGCCAGGACACTTGCTCCATTAAGCCCCCTTGTCCCTATGTAGGAGGAAAGGTCAGCCCCACAGAACACCCCAGAGGAGAGGCAGTGAGCCCTATAACCTCCCAGAGAAGGGACAGGTACATCACACCCCACATCACCCCGTGGCAGCAGTCAGGGCTCCCTCTCTCCACCATACTTCCCCCCCCTCCCCCGCCACTGCACAGGGTCAGAACTAGCTTTCTCCCTCCCCATATCCCCCCATTGTAGGGAGTCAGGGATGACTCTTTGCTCCTCCACCCCCATCCCTGAAGCAGGACCCCAGATCCTTCTCCCATCCCACCACCTGCAGCCATCTGCTCCGGCACAACAGCAGTGAGGTCACCACCACCACCAGCACCTCCAGGTGTGCAAGGCTGAGACCACCAGCCTGTCGGGGGGTCCATACACACCCACTGCCGTGGGGCTGAGCCAAGAGGGTCATGCAAGCAAGCCAGAAGCAGAAGGCAGGGTCGAGCGTCCCTCAAGGTTGTACGGGGAAAGTCGAGAAGCCCAGGAGCAGTGCGTACCTCACCTGTGTCCCCCGCCGTGTGTCCCAACAGGGTCGGGTGCTCCCAGGGCACGGTTGGGTGCCCCCAGCCCCACAGCCACCCCCGGCACCAGGAGCTGTGACTCAGACTTTCCTGCCCGCTCCCATGCCGCCGGCCCGCGCTAATCTCTGTCACTCGCGCGCAGGGAACATGTGTCAGCCCCAACGCGTGCCGAGGGCCAAAGATAGGCAGGAGGCAGGACAGGCAGGGCATTGCATGGGGGACAGACAGACAGGATGGAGTTGGAGATGGGGGACAGACAGACAGGGTAGACCTGAGTATAGGGGGACAGACAGACAGAGTGGAGCTGGGGATGGGGCACAGACAAGGCATTGCATAGGAGGATAGACAGACAGGGTAGGGATGGGCATAGGGGTCAGACAGGGCATTACCTAGGGGGACAGATGGACAGGATGGAGCTGGGGGATGGGGGTCAGATAGACAGGGTGGAGCTGAGTGTGGGGGGACAGACAGGGTGTTGCATGAGGGACAGACAGACAAGGTGGAGCTGGGGATGGGGGCTGAGCAGTGCTGAGCCTGGCAGGCTCAGTGCACCCAATGTGTGGTCCAGAAGCAGGGTGCAGGCCTCTTGGCTGTCCCTCAGCATGCTGCTCTGCACCGTCTGTCCCTGTGCTGCTTGTTCACCCAGAGAGGGGGTCTGTCCCCAGCACCATGCTCTGTCCATCCGTCCATCCCTGCAAGCTGTCCTCCACACTGTCTGTCCATCCATCCATCCATCCATCCATCCATCCATCCATCCATCCATGCATCCCACGCAGAGCTTGGTCCATCTGTCCCCACACGCCTTGCTTCTTATCTTGGCTGTCCCTGCCTGTGCTGTCTGTCCATCCATCTGTGTGCTGTTCTGTCCATCTCCCCATGCCATGCATCATGACATCTGTCTGTCCATATCCATAGTCCTCTGTGACAGCTGCCCTGTGCCACCTCTGTTTGTCCCCCCTTGCAATGCTCCATCCTGTCCATCCATCCTTCCTCACAGTACTGCCTCTCCATCAGACCAATCTGCTTGGTTTCACCCAGCCATGCTCCTTGACATCTGTCTGTCTGTCCCAATGTGCAATGCCCAGTCTGTCCTCCCATGGCCAGCCTATCCTGTCTGCCCGTCCCCCATGCAATGCCATCACGATGTCATCCCACAACACAACCCTACCCATGCTACGGCACAGCCCAGCCATGTCATGACACAGACTGGTGATGCCATGACGCAGCCCAACCATGCCCAACACATCCCAGAAATGCCATGACACAGCTCATTCATGCAATGACACAGCCTTGTCATGCCATGACGTGGACCAGTAATGCCACGACACAGCCTAGCAATGCCATGACACAACCTGGTCATGCCCAGAACAGCCAGGTCATGCCACAACACAGCCCAGCCATGTCATGACACAGACTGGTGATGCCACGACACAGCCCAACCATGCCCAACACAGCCCAGCAATGCAATGGTCCATCGCTCATGCGATGACACAGCCTCGTCATGCCATGAGGGCTGAGCAGTGCTGACAGTAGTGCCACGACACAGCCCAGCAATGCCACGACAAATCTTGGTCATGCCCAACACAGCCTGGTCATGCCCAGCACAGCCTGGTCATGCCCAACACAGCCTGGTCATGCCACAACATAGCCCAGCAATGCCAGGACATAGCCCAGCCATACCACAACCACACGCCACCTGCCCCCGCCATTGCCACAGCCCCACCACCACCACCACCACATCGCAGCACAGCCCCAGGCTGGCCACGACTGCTCATCCCACTGTGGTGGCATCCCAGAAGGACACAGCACTTCACAGGCATCCCTCCACCAGCCACAGTTTCCCCTCCCCTGTGCCACGTCCCTGAGGGGATCACAGAATCACAGAATCACAGAATGTTTGGTGTTGAAAGGGACCTCTGTGGTCACCCAGCCCAGCTCCCCTGCCGAAGCAGGGTCACCTACAGCAGGCTGCACAGGACCTTGTCCAGGTGGGCCTTGAATATCTCCAGAGAAGGAGACTCCACAGCCTCCCTGGGCAGCCTGGGCCAGGGCTCCATCACCCTCAGAGGGAAGAAGTTCTTCCTCATGTTCAGATGGAACTTGCTCTGCTTCAGTTTGTGCCCATTGCCCCTTGTCCTGTCGCTGGGCACCACTGAAAAGAGTTTGGCCCCGTCCTCCTGACACCCACCCTTCAGATATTTATAAGCATTTATTAGGTCCCCTCTCAGCCTTCTCTTCTTCAGGCTGGTCAAGCCCAGCTTCCTCAGCCTCTCCTCGTAGGAGAGATGCTCCAGTCCCCTCACCATCCTCGTAGCCCTCCTCTGGACTCTCTCCAGTAGCTCCTCATCTTTCTTGAACTGGGATGGGGGAGGGATCTGTTTTGTCACTTAGCCCCCCCAGCCATGCAGCATCTCACAGCTCTAACTTCATCCACATGCATGCCAACTGGCTCCCACGGGGGTGTGGGGCAGGGACTGGGAGCAAGCAGTGGATGCCAGACTCCCCCAGATGTGGGCCAGGATGGTTTTGGTACGGGGTGGGGACACACACACCCCCCAGCCCCAACTGCTGGGCTGCAGCGATCCCCAGGACCAAGGCATTGTCCCATGGGGCTGGCACCAACCCTGGGAGATGTCATCCCCACATCGACCCCCCCTCCGTCACCATCCCCAGTGTCCCCAGCCCCAGCCACACCACCACCGCCCTGTGTCCCCACCATTCCCCCCCCTCCCCAGCTCTGACTCACATCTGGGCCCTCTCGGCAGGGCGCGTTCCCTGGGGGGGTCTATTTTGGGATGGGGCTGGCAGAGCTCGGCTGGCAGCACACGCGCACGGTGTCCTGCCAAGGAAGCACCGGCCGTGCCGAAACGTGGTGGTCGGCCATGGGAGCACAGCCGGGGGGGTATGCATGGGGCTGGGGCTTCTGGGCGGGGAGTCTCCCCGGGCTGCAGTGGGGGGACAACAGCACACGGAGGTTGGGGCACCCTGCTCTGCCTGCACCCTGGGGCTGCACCTGCCCCAGCACCTTCCCTCCACCCCGGTTCCCAGATTGGATCCCTCGCTCTCTCCCAGTTCTCAGGGCCATACCCTTCCAGCTCCCCACTTCTCACAGTCATCTCCCTCCCTTTCTCCAGTTCCCACAGTGGTCTCCCTCCCTCTCCCCACTTCCCATGACCATCACCCCTCCCTCTCCCCACTTCCCGCAGTAATACCCATCCTTATCCCCAGTTCCCATGAGCATAACCCCTTCATCTCCCCAGCTCCTGCAACCATCTCCCTCCCTCTCCCCTTTCCCCACAACCATCTCTCTCCCCATTTCCCCCAGTAATACCCATCCCTCTCCCCATTTCCCATAGCCATCTTCCTCTCTCTGTTCCCGCGACCCTCTCCCTCCTTCTCCCCACTTCCCGTGACCATCACCCCTCCATCTCCCCAGCTCCTACAACCATCTCCCTCCCTCTCCCCTTTCCCCACAACCATCTCTCTCCCCCCATTTCCCACAATAACACCCGTCCCTCTCCCCATTTCCCACGGCCACCTCCCTCTCCCCCCATTTCCCACGGTTGCATCCCCTCCCTCTCCCTCTCCCTCCCCACCTGCTCTTTCCCCAGATCCCATCTGCTCACAGGGCCCTGACCCCGGTCCGGCTGGAAGGTAATTAATACTTGACAGCACATTAGCAGGACCCGCTTGGCAGCCAGCCGGGGGGGGAAGCTCGCATCCCCCTGTCACCCACCTGGGGACCGGGGACTGCTCCCAGGGGTGTCTGCCCCCAAGCCCCCATTGCCCCACGCCCTGCCCTTCTGCAGCCCCTGGCCCCACTGCACCCATACTGTCTGCATCCCTAGCCCCCACTGCCCCACACCCTGCCCCTTCTGCAGTCCGTGACCTCCAGTGCCCCACACCCTGCACCCTTGGCCCCTATTGCTCCACTCTCTGCTCCGCTGCCCCCTTAGCCCCCATTGCCCCACGCCCTGCCCTTCTGCAGCCCCTGGCCCCACTGCACCCATACTGTCTGCATCCCTAGCCCCCACTGCCCCACACCCTGCCCCTTCTGCAGTCCGTGACCTCCAGTGCCCCACACCCTGCACCCTTGGCCCCTATTGCTCCACTCTCTGCTCCGCTGCCCCCTTAGCCCCCATTGCCCCACGCCCTGCCCTTCTGCAGCCCCTGGCCCCACTGCACCCATACTGTCTGCATCCCTAGCCCCCACTGCCCCACACCCTGCCCCTTCTGCAGTCCGTGACCTCCAGTGCCCCACACCCTGCACCCTTGGCCCCTATTGCTCCACTCTCTGCTCCGCTGCCCCCTTAGCCCCCATTGCCCCACGCCCTGCCCTTCTGCAGCCCCTGGCCCCACTGCACCCATACTGTCTGCATCCCTAGCCCCCACTGCCCCACACCCTGCCCCTTCTGCAGTCCGTGACCTCCAGTGCCCCACACCCTGCACCCTTGGCCCCTATTGCTCCACTCTCTGCCCCGCTGCCCCCTTAGCCCCCATTGCCCCATGCCCTGCCCTTCTGCAGCCCCTGGCCCCACTGCACCCATACCTTCTGCACCCATAGGTCTCATTGACCCATGCCCTGCCCCTGTGCAAGCCCTGGTCCCCATCGCCCCCTGCACTGACCCTCTGCCCCCCAACCCCATTGCCCCCCTCTCTGGCCCTCTACACCCCTAAGTCCCACTGCCCCACATCCTGCCCCTCTGCCCTCCAAACCCCATTGCCCCGCTTCCTGCCCTGCTGCTCCTGCCCCATGACCCGGGGCAGAGCTGCGGGCAGATCCCCTCCCCCAGGCAGGCAGGGTGCTGGGAGCGGGACAGGTGGCTGCAGGATTAGCGCTAACGAGATGTTTCATAACGAGGTCGAGAGGCCACGGGGGGAGCATGGGCAGGGAGCCAGGCTCGGCTCAGCCCCACACCTGGGACAGCCGGGTCCCTGAGCTCACCCCACTGCTGCCCCACGGCACAGCCACAGGCCCCCATGGTGCCCCGTGGGGCTGGGTGCCAACATCCCCAGGCACAGGCACAGCACAGAGAGCTCCTCAGTTCTCCACATTTAATGACTGGGCACGGGGGACAAGGGGCTGGGGCAGGACCCCCTGCTGCCACCCACAGCCTCCTGTGGGGTGTTGTGCATGAGGTCCCCCATGGGACCAGGGGATGCCCAGGGAGAGGTGCAGAAGGGATGGTCCACAGAGGGACGTGGTGGCTGCTGAGATCGGGGGCTGTCTGTGGGGCAGAGCTCTGCTGCTCAGTCATCCTGCAAGGACAAAAGGGTGACAGCGGCTTGATCCTGCTCTGCCAGGCCAGCCCATGTGTCCCATGGCGGCAGGAGGGGACGTCCCAGACCTGGCAGACCACGCCGATGTCCTCCCGGTGGGTGCAGTCGTGGCGTCCCCAGGCGCGGTGGGCGCA